CTCTCTCTCTCTCTCTCTCTCTCTCTCTCTCTCTCTCTCTCTCTCTCTCTCTCTCTTCCGCCTCATGTTCCTGTCTACCAACCTCCAAGAATTCATCACTGCAGTGCGTGTTTCTTGGTTGTTTGCTCTGACTTCATTCTAGTTTTCTTTATGCTGCATGCTTCATTTACTGCACCCTTCAGCACTTGATAAATACATAAGCCAACTATTAGAATTGAAAGTCATAATTTGTCGCTGGCTTGTCGTGTTGTGGCATTGGCTGGCTCATGTCTTGGTATGCCTTGTCCAGGTTCCACTGCCATGCCTAAAATCATGATAGTTTATAATGGTATTGTAACTGTGAAGCAGCCGAGGAGGCTGTCTTCAGATGCAGCTGAGGGCGGAAACGCATTCTGCCAACAAGGTTTGAATTCTGTGTCACCTGCGGTCTCTCGATGGAAGGGAGCTGAAGCCTTAGCACACTCACTTGGAGCCGATGTTGTTGCTGTGTCCCATATGTGGTTGCTGGACACTGCTTCCATGTGCCAGCTCAGAGACGCAGCTTTGTACAGTGGGCCACCATGTTCCAGGTGATGACTCATTCATTCCATCAACACTTACGATCAGGAATCAGACTTTGGGTAATGTTAAACCACGAGTACATTGAAGCTTCTTGTTGAGCAGTGCGTGCGTCCCCTGGAGCGGCAAGTTTTGCCGAATGTCCGCGGGGCGGCGTGGGCTAGCTGCTTTCTCTCTTCTTTAGGGCCGAGCCTCTGCACTTTTCGAAATGAGCGAATTTTGTCTCGCAAGTTTTTGCCGGGGGCAATGTACTCGCGGCTTAACAAGGCGATTAGAAACCGTATGTAATCCAAAGTGTTAAACATTACCGACCAGAAGAGTAGAGGGGAATGGAGGCACAAATGAATGAAATCTGCTCTGCACCCAGGATTGAACTCTGTCTCAAATTTCAATCACTGTATATCTTGGTGGGTGGGAGCTGCAGCCTTAGCGTATGCTCACGGGAGGGAGAATGTCGCTTCTGTTCCGCTGTGGTCGCTGGACTGTACTTCTGGACTGTACTTCTATGTAGTACAGAGCAGAAAGATAGCATTGTACAAAAGACCATCGTGGTCGAGATGCTGTTGAATACACTTTCCATCAGGGAAGTAATGTTAACAAAAATAACAAGCTGATTACATCATGTCCTTGTTCCGCATCAGCCTTGAGTCTGACTCTACAGAGTAGGGTACTGCTGCATTAGGGCATGCCATGTCTTGATTGCATCATGTGCTTGTTCTCAGTATGCGAGGGAGGAGGTGAGTCTCTGCGCTGGTGCTAATGAGCAATCTTCCGTGCTGGGAACAGAGGTAGATTACTGTCATGTTGGGCTAAATCCCCCCTCTTCCCTTCTCCTCTTCCCTCCAACACTCCCTTCCCCCCTCCTCTCTCTTTCTGCTTAGTTAGTGTGCCTACACTAAAGTCACAATTTGTGCTTGTGGCTGTATTTGTGGACACATGAGGAGAGGATTAGGCCATGGCATCTCTTGATTGCAACATGTGCTTGTTCCCAGTGTACGAGGGAGGATTTGAGTTTCTGAATTGGCGCCAATGAGCAATCTTCCCTGCTGGGGACATGAGTAGATTACTGTCATGTCTGGGCTAAATCCTCCTCTTTCCCACCTCCTTTCCCCCCCCTTCCCCCCTTCTCCTCTCTCTGCACAGTAGTAGATACTAGGATGAAGAGTGTGTATACACTAAAGTCACAACTTGGGCCTGTGACTGTATACACTAAAGTCACAACTGATGTACAGGTCAACCGTTCTTGTATGCGGCATGGAGCCATTCTTCCATCTAGACGGGCTCCGCATCACAGTAGTTCGCCGAGCACATTTTCAGTCGATGAATCTTTCTTTGCTCATATCGTGGTACAAAAAGGGGACCTGGAGGAGGTTCAGTGCCGTTGCCAAACGCGACTCTTTGAGTTGCGGTAGTGGCAGGGGTGTGCTTTGCTAAACACAATTAGGTTCTTGCAAAGGGGCTGCGAGTTTTTGGGGCAGTATGGCAAAAAAGGAAGTGGGCTGGGATTGTATGGCAAGCCAATGGTTTAGCTCTTACAGCCGAGGTTTGGGCAAGCCGATGGTTGGGCAAAAGGCTTTTTTTTTTTTTTTTTTTTGTTGGGCAAAAGGCTAGTGACTGCTAGTTAAAAAAACTAGGTTTGTGGATATGATCTTTTCACAGCAGAATATTACATGGCTGTTCGCAGCATTTCGGTGATGATATTGTGAAATGCCTCAGCATCTGCTCACCATGATCCTGATAGCACTTACTTGAAGCTGCGATTGGGTTTACGACCTTCGTAGTCGGAGTGCAATAGGTACGCAATGCATGCATGCATGGAAGAAAGTGAGGGTGGAGTTTGCATGCTCAGCTGTGGATGGATGGATGGATGAATCATGTTCTGGATGTTCATTTTCGATGTCATCAACCTGCGCCATGGATGGATGAATCCTGTAGGTATGCACTGCATGGGTGGGAGAACGTTGCGCAGAACTGTGGACAGATGGAGGATTTTTTTTTTTCTCTGCTTCCGCTCTGCATGTTTAATTTGTGATGACATCATGTATGTGGGAGAATGTCGTGCGGAGCTGTGGACAGATGGATGACTTTTTTTCTCTGCTTCCCCTCTGCATGTTTAATTTGTGACGTCATCATGCATGTGGATGTACTCACAGGTTACGTTATCAGAGTGTCCTGGAATCACTTGCCCTGCGGGGCCACACATGCCAGTGCAACTGGTATATAAATGATCTTTTTTTTTTTTTTTTTTTTTTTTT